TACAACTAGTAAAATCATAAGAAAAGATATAACGGAATGATATAAACGAAGTTTGGAATTTATGTGGGTGCCGGAAACGTTATCAGGAAGTCCCGCATCACTATGAGTGGGAATCGTACTCCACCGCAATGCCCAGTCTCTGTTCTTACGTTGTGATATTTTTGATGAATAACTACTCATTTTGAGATCAGTGTTGGTCATTACTAATTATCATGATTAACAGAATTCAATAGATTGTATTGCATGAACTTTCGAATGTCGAGTTCCCGTGGGTCCATTTCAAGGCAAATCTTGTCATAAACAATCAATTAGAAGAATAGAAGGCATTGGACACTAGCTTCGAAATTTCATCAGTGCACACCCATGACCCCCTCTAGGGGTAACCCAGCAGTTCAAGTGCAAAGCTAACGTGTTACAAGCAGAGGCTTATGAAATCTATCTCGATACATAAGTGTTTCGACGAAGGCCTTCTTTTGTTTTTAGTTACTTGCAATCTCAGATGACTTTTATCCGACATGATAGAGTACTGATTTCAGATAGTTTAAGAATACGTTACAATGCCTGTACATTTCAGGAAGTCTCTATTCAAAACTTGCTAATCCCATAAAAATGTCTGCATTGATAAACTTTTTTTAATGCTACATAACGAATAATCTAATAATGCCGTTTGAGAACTCCACTTGAGAGCTTAGCTGTAATGCATAGATATTTTAGAAACTAAACTTTTTAGGGCAGAATGTATACTAAATATTGTTGACATTAGGACTAATCAGAGCAGAATGATAAAGGTTATGAATTTATATCGTAGCTTTATGAACCATACAATATTTGGAAAGCATAAGTGATCATTTTGCGAATGCAATATGTTTAATGGATGATGGAAATACCGAGAATTGTTATCCCTCAGACAGACGAATGTATACATAGTATATTTTTATTTTATTTATTTTTTTGATTTACAGCTTGATTCCACACTGTATTTTTGGTACAAGTATGGAATTTTCAGCATGGATATCGGTAGCCCAAATTTTGCAGGCCGACCATAGATATCAGGTGTGCGCCGGCGTGGGCTCGAACCCCGGACCATGTGCATGGTCGGCGAGAGCCCTAACTACTATGCCACCGACGCACTATATGTATACTTAAGAGAATCCAAACGCAAAACTTAGGTTTATATACTGATTGAATGCTTCAGCATACTACCAGTTCATCCAAGTAGCTAATCAGAACTCAACTCTCTGAACTGAATCAAATCAAAAACATCCCGGATAAGCTAGGTCCCGAAATAACAGCCGTGTTGGAATAATTCTCATCTGGCTTGGCAAGCGGTATCCTGTTTGATGTGAATGTCATGTCATTATGTTGGAGATGTAGCTGAAACATTCAACTCTCAATTAATAGGACTCATGGTTCGAATCTGTCCCCACCTACTTCGGTTTATGCAACTGAGTAGTATCATAAGCCGTCACAAAACAAGTATGGCGAATACTGAGGCGTACCAGATAAGTAGGTTCAAACTAACTATATATCTCATTATGGCTAAATGCTTCGCCTAGTTTTCATTTGATTCCAAAGTAAAGTACTTTAAGATAGGCATCACAATATCATAAATGAGTCCACGTGGTCTAACAGTTAGGATTCCTGGCTTTCACTCGAACTGCCAAGGTTTATCTCCCCGCCCAGGAACGCTTGAAGACAGAAGTAAGATAAAGCTGTCTAGTATCACCGATGATAATAATAACTGTGGTGAAATGGATCTACAGCAGTCCGTATGGTGAATGGGTTGGGCCAACAAGATATAAAATCCGCGGACGACTTCTGCCTAATGTCATACACACTCGTAGATCTACAGGCGAAAACCAACAAGTTATCAGAAGAAGAATTGAAGATGGGACTTCAATTGTTCATAGGAAAGCCAAAGGTGATGAAGATTCCCAACCAACAACAACAAGCACGGCTCACTTCCAACAAGTTAGTCTAAAGGAGGTCACCTCTTTCCCTGATCTAGGGAACATCGTCAAAGGTAGGATAGTAAAAGCAAGGGAGGCATTCGTTATTCTGAAATCAGTGTGAAAATCTGCTGCAATCAGCATAAGGAACACGGTTCGGATTTTACACAATAACGTCAAGTCAGTGATTCTATATGCTTAAGAGTTGACGTGACAATCACCAAAAGCATTTCCAACAGGTTATTGCAAACTTTTATCAACAGCTACCTTCAATCAATACTAAAGATCAGATGGCCAGCCAAAAAAAAATAGGCGACAAAGAGCTCTGCAACAAACCAATCAATAAACTATTGCTCAACAAATATGCAGAAGTAAATAGAGGTGGACTCGACATAGGCTAAGAAGACCGTTCAGTAATATCACACACCACCCAAGATGTCGAGCGGAATGTGAGTGGGAAGCGACGAGTTGACCATGGGGCAGATCGTGTGATGAGGGGTACTAAGCTGACAACTAAATGACTGAGTTTCAATATTGCACAGAAGTCCACTTTGTCACACTCCATGAAGCACACAAAGGCAGAAAAGAGATAAAAAAGGGAAAGAAAGGAACGATAAAAAGCAGAAGATTGAAGGGAAAAGATTAGGGTTTAATGGATATGGGAAATCTATCTGTCTTTCTGTTTTCGATATAGGACTTTGCACATATGTGCAGCAGTTCAAGTCGCCACACTCCACGTAGCACACAAAGCAAGAGAAGAAATGCATAATACAGACAGTAAACAGAGGTCTGAGACAAAAGAATAGTAGTAATACAGAACAAAACAGTTTCATTGGAAATCATAGGTCACAAGGAGTGGATTAATCTGCACCAGCCACTGAGAACGATTTTGATCCATGTCACCAAATGTTTCCAACCATTGGTTTTTACCGTCCCGAGGACCCCAACAAGTCAGGAAATCTACACCTTCCTACATGGCTGGCTTAAACTAATTGTTGTAGATTTCATTGACTGGTTCCATGTTTTGGTTTGACCGCCGCTAGCTGGCTCTTTTCCAGCTTGACCCTATGTCAGCTAACATTACCCGTCAGTCGAGGAAGGCGATGACTAGGCATACGTAACACATGTCCTAACCATCTCAATCGGTGTAACTTCACTTCTACGCCAGCGACGGCGTAAACTGGCATATGCGAAACTAGCCCTCTGTATCCGTCAGAGATCAACCCGTTGGGGCTGATGCTACCTCCCAAATAAGTGAAGCGGTCAATGTGCTCTACCACTTCACTTCCTATTTCTAATCTAGGAGTCGGTGTAGTTCAGTCCTGTTATATCATCTTACATTTGGTGGGAGCGAATCGCATTCCAAACATTCGTAGATTGCAGCTCAAGGAGTTTAGAGACTCTGCATTTCGTCAGCGTCGTCGCCTAGAAGGACTATATCGTCTGCATATTCTAAGTCAACGAGATTATTCCCTGGAAGCAAGTCAATTCCTGAGTCTCTGAAGCGAGTTACGGTTAAGTCCATTAACACATCTATGATGAAATTGAATAGAAGCGGGGATAGTGGGCATCCCTGACGGACACCACTAGTCGTCACCACTTCAGATGACAACTCGCCATAAGCCCTCACCTGGCTGCATGAGTTCGAGTAGAGTGCCTTGATCAGTGCAATGTATTTTCTCGGCATTCCCTTCACGGCCAAGCATCGCCACCTGCACCACTCAGAGAGAATCTGAGCCATATCACTAGCTGGCCCCGACGGGGTATTCTACACTACCTTACATGGATCAAATCAAGAGATTTGATTGATTGATGCCAAGTTTTAGTTTGACCACCATTGCTTGTCAAGGAACGCAATAGCTCAATCGACTCACCTTCACAAACCTATCGATTGACTTAACCTTCTTACCTAACACTACACCTAACGCCGATATTTCTTGTCATATTAAACCATCTAACACTGGAGATAGAATATACAGACACCTATAATCGAAGACAGGTAGTCTTTTCATATCCTTCACTTTCAATAGCTGTGTCTCACAACCACTACGGAGGACAGAGTGAACTGCCACGGAAGCAAGTAAAACAATCATGGCATCAGCTAAAAAAGGAATTCAGACAATAGGATGAAATGGAGACGTGTCAATGAAGTCTTATGTTTCACTCGGAACCCAAGGGTAATAATAATGACAACAACAACACAAATTGTGATGTAACTTATACAAATAAAATTAACAGAGTAAAAATTCAACTTAGATTAAATCTTTTATTTTATTTAATGTAAATAAAAGAAAAGTCAAAACAACAAACAAATAAACAAGAAAAAGAGACAAAACAGTTGTGGTGTACGAGGCACAGAATAAAACAAAAATTAGAAATAACAGTTTTTCCATTCATTCATTCATTGATACATTTTCAGAAGAGTTGAAGTTAATCATTTTAAAAAAACAACAACAATATTTGTAAATTATTTAAAAATATGAAAACACATTATATATATATCATTATTTTCTTAATAAACATACATATATATATTGCATAAAAAGTTGAACTATAATTGACATAAATGCTAAATATTAGTTCATCACATATTATCTTACAGATGTTTGTGTGTGTGAATAGGTAGGTAGGTAGGTATAAAAAGCACCATTGACACATTATATTAGACAACAACACAACATAAATACAAGTTAAAAAATGAGTACCCAACAAAACAAGCTTCAAGAGACAGAGAGAGGGACAGAAGGAGTAAGTGAGTCAAAGAATAGTTATGCAATGGTCATATTTCCTAATTATGTACACTATTACATAATTCCGCATAGCTAGTCGCTGTGCGTTAATGTTTCTGTGTGTGTGTGTGTGTGTATAATACAGCAATGACAATCAAAATTGCCTATAGTTATTTGTTTAATGCAACTGGTTATTACCTATGATGATTGTGTAAATTTTGTTTTACTTGACTAATTAACTAACCCCCTTTTATGAATATCATAATAGCAAGAATGTACAAGTTTGATTGATTGATAATACATCAGAGAGTATACAAATATTTTAAAATAAATCCGGTGAAACACATGTTTTGCTGTCATTATCATCATCAATGGTATTTTTATCAAATAAATGTGATACATGAAAATTTCGATTTGGTAGGCATTCATCAGCCTCATCTTCAACTTCTTCATCATCATTACTAGCTGGTGTTACCGTTGCTATTGTTGTTGTTGTTTTTAGGTTATTACATTGACCATTAAGATAATTTTTAGGTGAACTAGATAATATATTTATCATTTTAATATTTTCATCAGTTTCTTCAGTTTTATAACATTCAGATACAATGGCAGTAGTATTAGTAGAGTTAGTAGTGACAGTTACAGGGGTAGGCGATTTTACAACATGATCTTTAAAAAGTGAATTATCAATATCACTTGTTTCTGAAATAACCAACTCCGGTGATCTCAACTGGTGATCATGGTCATCACTATTATTATTATTATTAATCTCATCGGATAGTTCTGGTTTGATGATTTCAAGAGAATTACTTTTATTCGATTTTGCTACAGATTTCAGATTATTCGGTTTAGTGAATTGATCAGAATCGTCACTAGCAGTTGCATCTCCCTCTTCTTCTTCTCCATCATCTCCTCCGTCGTCATCATCATCATCGAATGGTTTGTATTCACTGTCAGATGAGGAGGACGAGGATTTGAGAATTTTTCGATTACCATGAGTTCTATTTGCCTTCAAGCTTACAGTGATTGGAGATGGAGGTTGGTTGTCAGTGGTGTTGTTTTCTTTTTTTGTGATATTATCACCGCCATTGTCCTCTTCATCATCATCATCATCATCCAGTACTCTACGAATTTGTTTACTTTTATTTGGAGTGACTACTCCTGATGAAGTACCCTGCATAGACTTATTACTATTATTATCGGAGGATTCTTCATCATTTGATTCTCGATAGCTGACAACATTTCGTGTACATCTATGAGTAGGGGAAAAAAAGAATATATATGCATTTTGAATTGAAAGGTGACATTATCATAATAATTCTGTAATGTTCTGTTATACCATAGTGTGTTTGAACGATCTACTAAATCAAAGTACACAAACAAGATATTCTACTTCGTCTAATACTTCCTATGATAACCTTCTCATATCTATCTATCCACATTCTACGTAGTACACAACAGGTAGAGAAAGAAAAGGAAAAAAACTTTCAAAAGAAATATAATAAGGAGAAATGAGTGGGGGAAAAATAACGTAGACAAATAAGGATTCAATAGATATGGGAGATTACAAAGAGTGAATGCATCTGTACCATCGAGAAAGGTTTTGATTCATATCACCAACAGTCTACAGCCACACTGGATCTTAACATCACAAGGTCACTAACCAGGCAGTTTACACCTTCCTACATGGCTTTCTGAAACCAACCGTTAAAGACCTTATGGACGGATCGCAGATTTGTGTATGTATCACCCCTAACTCTTTCTCAACTCAACCCTATGATAACTAACACTGTTCATCGGAGAAGGCGGTAACCATGCATCCGCGACACATCTTTTAGCCATCTAAATGGATAGACAGATAGAATGCAAACATCTCTGGTCAAAGGTAGTCTTCTTATATCTTCTACTCTCAATGGCCATGTCTTAAAGCTATCTAGTGCTGGATATGAAATAAACTCTCTACATCATCTGATTGACAAGTGGTTGACAGAAATTCTTGCAGCAGTGAAGGAGGCACTATTGAGTCACGATCTTTGAAACACATTTGATCACGTTCGTTCAATTAAGAATGTCATTTTGTCTGGTAAACGAATGATATTGTTAATTGTTGTTTCTCTCTGTAAAAGTGTTCCACTAAGAGGAAGCATCTGTTTCTTTTCATAGAAATTTTTGTATTCCCCAAATGAATGAAAAACAAAACAAGATACAAAAACGTTTATGCTAATAAGTATCATTATAGCCAATGCCCACATTTTTTCCAACCTCTTAAAGGTAAACTTGGTTTGGACGTTTCTTTTGATGTAATCGTAATTTAAATGGTAACTAGCGGTGAAATAGAGGACGCGCACTTCGTCTTATATGGGACTCGTCATCTCGATGTGCCTGCATTCTCCAGTGAGTGATGGTCTTTCTACTGTAACTCAAACCTAACATCCACCATTTTAAACGCCATAGCATTATCCACTATATTGATCTTTATTTATTTTTATTTTTGGTTACAGCTTGACTTCACACCGTATTTTTGGTACAGGTATGGAATTTTCAGCATGAATATCGATAGCCCAAACTTTGTAGGCCAACCATTGATAGTACTTAGGTCACGAGAATCATCTCTTGTGCACCGGGTGTCGGTTATGATTTATTTCCAATTCAACTTTTATTTTCTCGTTGACTGATTGAACCAAAATGTATTATTGATATCAGTATAAAACTTGGGTACTGTGGTAGACATTTATTTATTCAAATGTCCAATCAATTCCACTCATGTATATAAATGAATCAAAACGTTGTGTGAGTGACTTAATATTATTATGAGCAGCTATAGTTTGTGCTCGAAACGTCATCAGTTAATACTACCGTATAACACTGTGATTTATCAAAATAAGACCTTATCTATAATGAACCAAACTGTTCGGTCACTGTTGACATGTCGATCTTACTTCGATCTACCTTCAATATCTACTTCAGATTCAACAATGAGAACTACATACAAATAGGTGGTGTAGCGATTAGTTACTCTCTGGGACCGCTTGCTATCCAACTGCGTGGTGAGATCTGCCTGATAGCCTAAATTGTAGACAACAATTGACGTCAGTGTTTACGTCTCAAATCTTGGCCACAAGAAAAAACAAGAACAAGACCAAACCTTGAGGAACTCAACAACCAATCACAGCAGACTTAGCGTGGGCGGAAACGATTCGCAGATATATCACCGGACTGTCTAAGAAACTGCAACAAAAAGATGACAGAATAACCTTCAACAGGAAAACAACCGATCAGAAAACGTTGCTTCTCTGCTCACAATAACGAATAATAATGTAAATAAAAATCTACAAATATCTGTTGATTTTCTCAGTATAGGATCTGTTGCCTGGCAATCGTCTTCTGTCGCTACAAATGTTTTATGGCAAGTCTAAAAAACACTCTGGTGTTAACGAAAATCAGCAAACCATTTTTTTATAGAACATAAGCTGACGATACTTTCATTACTTGTGGTGTGAATTCAAGTATGGAAAAATTTCTGTACACTATCACTAGTGACCACACAAAATTAACTTTACCCTAGAAACAGAATCGGAAACAAAGCTAAACTTCTTTGACGTTGGATTGCTAAGAAAGTGAGACAAATGTAGATGAAAAACTGAGCTTAAAGTCATGTCTTTCAACCGATGAGTCTTGAAAATTAAATAATTAATTATGGGTTCATCTACTCAAAGCTGACTTAATTTCATTTAATGTCATATCATCGTCAATCTTTGCATAACGAACATAGTCTAAAAACTAAATATAAACAGGTGAAGCCATTTACAGATTTTATTTATACATCACATCAAAAACAGATTTTACTTATTTTATAAAACAAGGAAATTCAATTTAGAATAATATCCAATAAACAATGCACTTACCTTCTAGATCGTGTTGCTTTGCGATCTGAACATTCATCACTGTCTTCAAAGCAAGGAACTGGTCTTCGTGACCGACGAGGATAGTTGCATAATTTTCTTCTTTTACTAGTATTCTTTCGTGAAGATCGACTACTACGTCGAGCAGTACAAAGCCAACTGTTATCACTCGATAACTGTTCATCACTAGAATGATGTCTTCTGTAGTCATCAGCCTCGTCTTCACTCTCTGCTTCTTCTGAAGACGATGGGTTAAAATCTTCATCACTTGCTTTACGGTTTTTTCCGGATATTTTATCTTCATTAGCTGAATCTTCACTAGAAGAACTTGAAGAGAATTTATCCCTACGACGTTTTCTGTTTCTATCTTCAGATTCTTTCCATTCCGGTCCCAAGATATTTGAAAGATCTTTACCACGTGAACGACCAGGAGGATGACTGTTCGTTTCACACTCTTCATCGACGGCTTCACCACCAGATTCATTCAAATTTTGGTTGGCCTTACGTTTTAGCCTTCGTTGCTTTTCTTCTTGATACTTTTCATCAGCTTCTAATGCTTCATCTAGTTGTTTGAATGCATCACTCAGTTTGTATTTGACTTGACGCTGACGCGTAGTTCTGCAAGGAATAGATTCTGCTTCAGACTCAGATGATTCAGTATCCTCATCAGAAGTTTCTTCTCTGAACTTTACTCGTCGAGACGTTGAATACTGTATTTTTCGTCTCTGTCGAAGTCGTGGGTGTCTAGCGGAAGGTTTCTGTGACCTGCCATCGACTCCAGAATCAGTATTGTATTCAACACTTTCTGCATCGGAATTGGAGTCAGAATTTGCATCTTTACTTTCTCGATCACTAGAAGAATGGTCATAAGCATAGTTAACATTGTTACTTTGAATATTTCTAAGTACTTTCCCTTTTTTCACTTTTCTGCCATCGGCACAATCACTGTCATCATCCCCTAATATGTTTGTCATACTGATATTCACAAAATTCAAGCGTTCTTGCATACGCTTCCAGATATTTCGTTTTTTAGATTCTGCTTCAAGAGCTGTAACAGTTTCATTCAAAGATGATATCAAAGCAGTATGTTGACAACGTGGACAGAACCAATCACCTTCAGGGATTATATACAAGGGAGGTGAGAGACACATAGCATGATGACCTAAATCACATCGATCACATAATAACATCCAGTCAGGCATATGCGATTTAAAACAAACTTGACATGGTTCCTCCTTCTCAATCTCATTTAAAGTATTATCCGTATCAGAAATAAACTTTTTCTGTAAACGCTTTTGTCTAGCTAGATTCCGTCCATCTGTTACACTATCAACATCACTTAGAACATCTAATCCATTAGGATCGAAGTCACTTTCAGGAGCATCTGACCATTCGGCACTTACGCGCTTATTAGCTTTTGCTTTTGAATGAGAAATCGAATCATCACTATCTGCATCCATATGTTGCATAAGAGCCTTTTCAAAAGAATCATCTTCTTCAACATCTGAATCACTAGAAGATGTCTCATTATTCCAAGGGTTCGACCTTTTACGGGACTTTTTACGATGACGTTTTTTCTTTTTTCTTTTCTTTTTGACTGTTACTGCTACAGCAGAAGCATCTTCTGGTATTTTTTTCTTTTTAGAATTACCACCATCACCAACCTCATTAGTTGATTTAGATAAGGATTCAGTGATTGGAGTTGATGATATTTTTAAACGTTTAGGTTGTACTGGTTCAATAGTGAATACTTGAACTGGTTTACGCTGTCGACTACTACGTCTCAAATCTTGTTGTTCATTGATACTACTTTCAGGATAATTTTTATTGGAGTTTTGTTTGCGAGATTTTTTCATTTTATTGTTTGACATAACACAGGTAGACTCTTCGATAGTTGATGTTTGGGGGGGATTTTCAGTTACCTTTGTATTACAATCATCACCATCATCATCTGGTCTTAGAACTCCATCTTCAGTGCACTCTGGTTTGATATGATATTCTTCACTATTATAATGTTACAAAATAAAGCAAAAATGTTAAGATTTTCTTTAATATTTTACTAAGAATCCTATCATGAAATGCTGGGAAAGCCAGAAAACAGCCACTTTTTTTACTTTAAATATGCACCAAAAAAGCAAATAACCTAAGATATACCAACATAAATCATATATTATATATATCCTACTAGCATATATTGTCTTATTGTATCGACGGCTGAATAGTATAGAATGCCCATCAGCAACACAGGAGGTCTTACCTACCTGATAGTAAGCCCGTAGAGGAGAAAAGGTGGTGGTGTGTGAGCTTAGCATTTCCACCCAGTAAAATAAAAACACCACCGCAACTGAAATTTTAAAGCCTGAAACACTATGTCCTATTTAAAAAGTAAGGAATATGAGAACTTATATCATCTGCTGTATAGAGTTACTAACTTTTAAAGAATTCCACTAGATGGCTTATAATTACTATTTGACATTGAACAAGATTAGTGACTTTGTAATTTCGAAAACAGGTATATACTATTAGAGTATCTGATGAAGCTATTTGGATAGTTTTCATGCTAAAAGAGTGGTGGTACTAGTCTCGTGCCCAACTTACCCAGGCACTAAGTCGGGTCAGTGTGGCTGAATGGTCGTCGAGCTCGTCTTGTGGCCGGAAGGTCCTGGGCTATAATCCCAATGGACGCGCGCCGTCGATGAGTTTCAGGCTAGGACGAAACATCGGTCTAGTACTCCCAGGCTTTCTTACTATTCGCTAACCGATGTCAGCTTATGATGAAATTCTGCAATCAATCAAATCACTAGAAACCAACACTTGATGATTATAAATTTCATAAAAAGATGGTGCCAGTATCCAAACAGAAACTCCTACACACAGTTCACCTAACACAATCAACTTACAAACATGTTTAACACATTGATAGAATATGTTAGAGCGAAATATCAATGACAATTATCCTAGTTCATAAATGAGAACATATCATGTTGCTTACACCATAAGAGTATTTATAAAAATCGGCTACCCCTTTGATAGTTGGATAAATAAAGGAAAGAAAATTTATAAAGTTGTAACTGACAACTAGTGGTTCAACATACCTGGTGTGGAGATCGCCTTGTTTCGCCTCATTCACTTGTGCTTCCATTTTATCGTCACCTTTTTCATCTGTCTGCAGGGTGGACACCATCTCTGGACTTCTCTTTTCTTCTTCTTCTGTTTCATTATCCCGATATTCGGTTTTAATAAATTGTTGAACCTTTGAAGTCGCTAGTAACAGATCAACGGAATGAAGAGTTGGTACATGAGGAAAAGCTGGAGTGGGAGGTGGTGTAGCGGCAGGCTTAAAACCTACATCTGGTGTGGATGCAGACAAGTCAGAATTTTCACAGTTCTCAGGTTTTTGATTTTCTGGAGAAGCTATGCCTTCTTGTATTAAAGTTGTCAGCTGATCTTTTAAGTCTGCTTCATCTGTAGAAAGTTGTCTTTTCCTAAGTATATCTTCTAGTTTTTCATCTTCTGAATATGCACCTTTTAATTCTTCAATGAGATCACGTACCTCATCAAAGGATTCACATAATAACTTGAAGAACGGAAATAAGAGATGATTAAAATATGAGTCATAATATATGAGTAAAATTGTATCTAGAGGGAAAGAAATAACAAGTAACCGTCTAATTTTAGAGAGAATTCTGTTTAACCGGGAAGACTAAAAGGAACAAGTTACTCAACTTCCAAAATTCTTATTTTTTCCACTACAACTCTTACTGTTCATCTTCAACTATACAACGAGTTTAGATGTGCTGTCTTTTTAACAAGATTAGGAAGATAACACTGCTATGAGCTGACATCGGTTAGAAAACAATTGGAAAACCAGCCACAGGGAGTATTGGACAGCTGTTTCGTCCGAGTTTACGACTCCCCAGAGTACACACCCACCGGGGGTCGAACCCAGGAACTTCTGGTTACAAGCCAAACTCGTAGACCATGAGGCCACTCTAATCCTATCCAATGAATGGGCCATGAATTCTAACTTCTACCAATTCAAGACATAGAGCGATCACTTAGAAATGTCTTTCGTGAGTATTCTTACCTTCGACCTGCTGCACCTTACTAGTCACGGCTTCCCAGGTTCTCCAATCGTTCTTTAACCAATGTTAGCTCACGAAGAAATCCTCAAACCAATCAAACAAAATCCCTACAAACCGATACTTGAAAATAACACTATAAGTTGATTCAAGTGGTATACAACTACTCATATCAGTCGATCAGTAGTATATATATATGGTGTCATGCATTTATGCCATCACCACTTATGGTATCCATCAAATCAAATATTGTGCTCTGAATAATTTATGTCTCCAGTGAAAACTGCAGTTAAATTTCACCTCGAACCTTGTAAATTGGAAGTTATGAATTTGGTTTAAAAATAATAAGTACACACGTTTATACTACACTATTGTGACGGCTAATGATACTACTACCTGAAGCAAAGTATACAAGGCGCATTTCGAACCTGCTTACATCAAAAGATAAAATAGATCCCCGAGTAAATCTTAAAAATACTGCCAAAGCTAAACTTAAGAGTCGTTTAGACGAATTTTTTTTAAAAATTCTGTATAAATTTAAACTTCAACTATTATCAACGATAGTGTTTTTTAAATGAACTTTATCAGCCTAAAGTATTTGTGAAGAAAAATACTCAAACTGAGACATCAAAAGATCATCAACTATTTTTAACTGAAAAATCCTATCTTAAGAGAAAATCACTTATCAGAAAAAAGGTGGGCTCTGAAGTTGTTGACTGTGCAATCTTTATTACGATCGATTGACTGAGTATCAACATAGAACTCTGCACACAGGTGCAGCACTTCAAGTTGGCATACTCCATATAACACACAAAGTTACAGAAAAGACAGAGAGGAAAGAGGTCCAAAAGAATGATAATGAGTAGAAATGTACAGAAGAAAGAATAGTAACATAAAAAATGCGAGCGAATGCATCTACACGACTGTGGATGATTTCGACTCATATCCCCGCCAACAGTCGACACCTTCCTACGTAACTGTTACACATCAGTTGTCGAAAACTTCATGGTTTGATTCGACCACTCTTCACTCTTTTCCAGCCTAATCCTATGTCAGCTAACATTGCACGTCGAGGAAGCCAATGGCGTGTTATACAAAACATCTGTGCTAACCATCTCGATGGATCCAGCCTCATAACCTCATAGACACATTTCCCCTCCTCACCTAACACTCGAGACCCAATTAGAGAATTACTCACCACATTATACCACTTGACAGGGAATATATAACGCAAACATATGTAGTTAAAGACAACTAGCCTTTTCATCTATCCCACTTTCAATGAGAACATCTCAGAACCATATAGTAGAACATAGCGAAATGCTGCACATTACATATGTCCTTTGATCAATAGCCGGATATGATGTCTACACAAGAGACAACGTAAGCGTGCACAAGCATTTTGTATCCATGGTTAACATGCCTTACCATTTGACTACCTGTCTTTAAGCTGGGAGTCGATGCGGGCAAGGGCAAATCGCAAGACAAACACTCGAAGATTTCCGCTCAAGGAGTTCAAAAGACTGTCTTTTTGTTAGCATCTTCACCTAGGAGGATAATATCATCCGCGTACTCTAAGTCGATAAGGTTGTATCCTGGTAACAAGTCAATCCCTAAGGTCAATTTCATTAGTACATCTATGATAAAATTAAACCATGACAGTTGAGAAGTAACAAGAATCTCCAACGAATGAAATTCATGCCAGTTGTATCAATCATAAATGCATTATTAAGAAAAAATATTTAAAGCACAAACTATAGACTCGTATACTTTGACTGGAGATTCGTTAGTAACTAGTATCATGCGTCTGCTCCTTTGCTTGGTGCAGACTGAATTCAATCAGTCAAGTTTGCAATGTGGCCATTGGTGCACACTAAATTGTAGTTATTAGATGGTTGAATGAGGAGATGTGGTGCATTAACTTAGTCACTCGAATTTCAATCTGAAAGTCTCGGCTTCGATTCCTGCTTCACCTACTTCAGTCTGGGCAACGGGACAGTATCATCAACCCTCACATAGTAAGTAAGTCTTATCCACTGATGCATGAAATATCTGTGCTGGTTAACTGAGTTCAAACAAACATGGAATTATGAACAACCAAAAGATTTTTAAAATTAAAAGATTATATATATTTTTAACAGTAAAACAATCCTTTTGTTAATGTAAATATCTACACATTACATATAAATAGAACGTTAAACTAGTCAACATTTCTTGATCACTTAAATTTATTTCAGTTGATCAGTGTACCATTCACCTATTGATTTATCTCCTTTGATAACTGATATGTGATTACTAATATCGAGGTTAGATGTAGAGTACTAGGTAAGGAAGGCAAGTTAGTCAGACAATGAGGTTGTGAAGCAGCATCAATTGAGATTGCTAGGACGTGTTATGCATGACAAGTCACTGCCTTTCTAGTCGAGCACAATTAGCTGACAAGGGATTCAGTTTTAAAAGAGGTCGTGGAGATCAAACCAAACCGTGGCATCAACTCATGGAGTCTTTTACAATTGGTTTTAACCACTCAGGGAGGTGCGCAATGCCCGATTGCGGTCTTCAAGATGCTAAGAACCAATGGCTGGAGAATGACGGTGATATAACTAAAAATTCATCCACTCTTTTTTAATTCCTCAAATTCTCATGATTCCGCATGTAATTGTGCTTTTTCTTCTTCATTTCCATACATTATATTTGTATGTAGTTTTTTTTCTTTTACTTTACCTCTTTTTGCTGCATGGAGTGTGGCAACTTGAATTGATGTACTTCTGTGCGGAGTTCCACGTTGAAACTCAGTCGCTATCAGACCTATCGGTAATAATCATATAGTTATGTTGTATTTCTTAAATATCAACCTATAGTAACCTGGGGAGGACTACTAATTGCGAAATACTTTTAAACAGATAAACGCATAGGACATTTTATTTTTTTATTTTTGATTTACAACTTGATTCCACAGTGCATTTTGAGACAAGCATGGAATTTTCAGCATGGATATCGGTAGCCCGAATTTTACAGACCGACCATAGATGTCAGATGTGCGTTGACAGGTGATCGAACCTCGGACCATGTGCATAGTCGGCGAGAGTCCTAACCACTGTGCTACCGACGCGTTTTACAGAAGTAAGTATAGTTTAGTACTTGTAAATATGAATTTGTGAAAGAGCTAATTCGAAACGTATATAACAAAATAGTTTAGATCTAAGCAGTGAGCTTCCTTACACTATAGAATGACAAACAGCAGCTGTTGACAGAGAAGTTTGAAAAGATTATGAGCACTATTAACTTTTACTACAACCATACAATGAGCCATTACACACTTAATATTATAGTCTACACAACTGTTTAAAGTTTTTTGCTTTTCTTTGTCCTTCACCCTTATAAATAATAAGATACGAGTAAGTCAAATGTAGGAATACTAGTCTTACACATGTAGACGCAGAGCTTATAAACCCATATGGTCAACTTGATTAGATAAGTTATTTGGGTTGTGTACAACATACAACACAAAGACTTAGTCTTCTTATTTTACTTAAGATTTATCAATGTGTTACGTAAAGCAGAAAAAACACAGTACTTACCATAAAACTGTTGTCATGATGGTCTTCCCTATACAAATAAATATTCACATCCGAGTCCTTTAGTAACCAATAACTTCTTCCCCAAACATCAATACCTAAGGGAGGGAATCGTAGATCGATGGGAGAACGCAAGTTCGCTTTGTCCTTGAATGGTTGGTTGCGATCAAACTGACTTTCCAAAAGACAAAGGAGTGTTCTGGTGCGAATACAAGGTGAAATTCTGTAATAACTGGAAGGAAGATGCCCAACTGGTTCTCGTGAAATAAAATTCGCTTTATCATCATTTACATATTCAGTACTTAGGAGGATATCAGCAGCTGTCTCGATACCATCAATATGAAGGCCATGGTTGAGTAGAAATCGTCCTAGTACTGGTTCCCATCGATCAGGGCGAGCTCGATACTTCAACTTATTGAGAAGCTTGACATGTAATGTCTCCCATATCTTTGTGTTCGCTTGTAAAACAGAATAAAAACCACGGAAAAATTCTACATTTTTCTTAATTGAAATAAATGAAATGAAGCACAACTTAACAACCACTTGGATTTACGTGCTCCTGGGAATAAGCCACATTATTGTACACGGGATAATTCTATCTAGTCAAATCCTCAGAAGGTTGTGTGGAGGTAAAACCTTCAGGCCATTGTTTGTAAGTCCAACGAGTAAAAATGAATCTTAAATGAAGTCTCACTGAGTTTAAATCCCTTTTACCTTACTTCACCAAAAGTGGGGTATATATACTATTACAGAAAACTTGAATTCATTTGGACATTGGTGAAATAGTGACGTTGTGTCTGTCTAGGTTGGTCTGTCTTCTCACTCTTGAGGGAGACAATATAGGACAACACTCAAAAATGCACATTTCGCCTTGTCCTAAAGATGCATATTTTTTATGAAATGAATACGAAATAACCACATGAATTGCTTCAAAAATAGCTACATATGACCATTTTCAATGCTTTTATATGGTCTGCAGAATTGGAAAAAAGCCGTTCATTTAGTACTTTTACTGTGCTGAGTGAATCACAGCCATTTGACAGTTTGCAACAGTTGGATAGTTAAGTGCATTTGGAGATCCAAACTGTTAGTTTATGCACTCCACTTTCAATGAATCTCGAGTTCTAAACCTGCCTCACCTACTTTAGCCTGGGCAATTAGATAGTTTCATAAGCCTCAGACAATAACTGTGGTCCACAGTGTGTCACATAAAAGGCTTGTATTTATATGGTATTATATTGATTAAAACACTTAGAACCTCGCGTCTAAAACGCGATAATTTTGTGGTGGCTTTGAATCATAAAGACTGGCATCACCGTAAATGACACTAACAATAAAGTCTCTATTAGCTAGTCTTGGCAAAAAATCGGATATAAACTATAAATTACCAGGAATCCCAGCAAACTCGAATTAAGTCTTTGCATAAGTTAAATAGATACACATCTACATTCCTGCATGATCACAAACGTCTTGAAACCCTGAGGACACTAGCTTTTTTTCAACTTTCATTTTAAAATCAATTAGATTTCAGTTGGTTTAAGACGTAATACTTAAAATTTCCATCTTAATAAGTGTTTAGCTGCCTATAACGGTATATCTGTGTGGACTTACATTGCGTTATCAGTAAGTCACTAGAGCATGAATTGACAGAGAAGCTGATTAGCTTTCATTTGTTACTCAGCGTGTGACAGTGTATTATTAGTATCTATATACGGTTGTTTGGAACTTAACCCATTACTGGGCTAAGAGCCCCACTACGATTAAGCGTAACCTTTACTATTTTGACGGCCTGAGAGCTACTCCTTGATGACAGTGACTGTATGCATAATCAGGTAACAGGAAGACCAAATTAATCTAGAATCAAACTTTGTTAACAGCGGTGTGCAGTTAAGTCAGTAGTCAATTGAAATGCAAACTCCGACGTGCGCGTTAAGTTGCATTATCATTTAATACGGTCACATGATAAAAAGCGAGCTTAAACCGAAATGTTTCAGGGCATTAGGCTTAATTGAATTCAGTCTGATATATGTGAGCAACAGGTGTCTATATGAAGTATATCCAACAAATCACAAGAACTTCACAAGTCATAATGTCCAATATCATATGCTGCATACCAACACCCGAAGTTATTCATCTTTTAGGGGCATGAAAATATGGACACCTTGTGTGAACTAAGACGCCACTTATAACTGAACTCCTTATAACGTCACGTGAATGGCACTATAGGTGCTTTGAACTTAAATGTTACTGTTATGGTATATATACATCAAAGGACCCAGTGCAGGTATTTCGTGAAGCACTAGTCTTGAGTCCCGTGAAAATGTCATACTTTTATACACGGAAGCAACAACATTTCCAAGATTTCCTAACATATTTTAATTGTGTGCAAATTAGGGCAGCTGAATTTAAGTTATTACGTTATGGCTTTAATTAACAAACCTTGCGAAAGCTCCTGACAAATTAATATAATAACAGCGTGATAAACCAAACATACCTGAGTCTTGGAGGCAGAGAAAGTCGTACAACTGCGGAAACGTTAGATGAATACCGAGATCAGAACCAAAATATGTTAGAAACGAACAGAGGATAGCAAAATCAGGAAGACATCTCAAGTCATCTGGCTTCCTACACTCGACAGAAGAAAATGTTAAAGGAAACTACACAAAGTACGGAGAGTCTTCCTCCTTTTCTCCACAAATATCGGTATTTTCATCCATCAAAAACGACCTTGAGCAACTTCCATGTTAGGCGCTGCCATCCTCAGAGTGATAAAAACAAGCAAAGAAAGGTGAACTATAAGGATACCCAATTCCCACTATAGTTCTGTTCGCAACTTACTTTGCAGCAGAGAAAATGAAGTTTACACCCTGGAACATATTGATTTTAATGGCTGTTTTTTTAAATACCGATCACCACTTATTTTTATTCATTCATGTGTACATAATACAAAGACTTCTGCCGCATACTAGCCTCCCTATATTTTTGTATCATTTGTCAGTCTTCGACGGTGCTGATTACAAGTAGATTTGTATATGGGATACGTTAATAATTCCCTAATTGTATATTTGTCTAGCGCAGTGTTTGTATTTATCTCTGATGATCGCAACTACGGCTGAAATTATCCAGCATGTTCAAGGCCATTGGCGGAGTGAGACGCGCAAAGGTCATTTTCGTCCATATTAGTCAGCCGTGTGAGGATATAAGCTATAACCAGGTGTTATCGCGCTACTTCATCGGTTATCGCGTTCACGGCTACAGGCGTTATAATCGCCTTTTTTTTGTAAATAGATTATATTTGACTAGTTTTAGACTTCTGTAGCCAGACAGCAGTATTTTGCTGTATTTTGTTCATAGTAGAGCGTAAAATTTGATATTATAGCTCGGACGGATTTTCAATAAAGAAGTAATCCTCTTTGAGAAAGTTCGCATAGAAAGACTATTATTTGCATTATAGGGCGTTGAGGGTTTGTTTTTTGCGAGTTGTTTCAGATCTTAAGGTTGTAAATATACTACAGGCAGTGGTAGAGAACTTAATGTCAGAGTACTTAAAATGAGTATCAGCTTTCTGTTGATTAGTAGCTAGCAGCTGTGTCATACAACTACTACACCTGTTACATAGGTTATACCAATATTAATAATTATTTTGCTTTAGATCACTAAGATGTTCTGAGATCCTTAATGACTTAATTGTGGCTATGAAAGATATGGAAGATGCACATATGGCTCATATATTTAAAGCAGTTATTACTAAACAAGTTATCTGTAAGCATTTTGTGATGTTCTGGTTACAATGCTTGAGTGTATGGGGTTATTGCCTGCTTCTGTGAGTTAAGGGATATTTGGTGAAAATCATGATACAATGAAGATTCCTATAAAGTCACTATGAATACTGCAAACTGTTGATAAGAAACTGCATCAAAGGAAAAAATGCCGAACAGCTAGAAAATACTACCTCAGTCTCGATGATTATTACCTTTTGCATTTGAAAATCATCCTTCCAAAGCTCAGATTGACGGCAAACCATCCATGGTACCCCACAGGCCCTACAGAAATTTGTGAGAGATCTTACATGTCAAGTTGTCTTAGGAATTGTAAGGTTGCAGATATTTCAATTAACCAGTCACTGAAATATCACTTATCAGTGGGGGTAGGAGCCAACAAAGTAATCCTTTCAAAGCATATGTATACTTCAAATGGGCACGGAGACTTTGTAGAATACTCTATAATCCAAATCACTGCCTCTACAGTGCCAATAAACATGGATATCTATGATATAACGAAATCATGCTGAAAGCTGCATCTCAGATCAAGTTGACTCATTTGATGGTAATGATCTCCTCCTGCGTGCCTTATTCGACATATTGAATGGAATGGTTCGCAGTTATTCTGGTACTAGATCGAAAAGAATAAAAAATTCACCGGTTGCTGAATCAAAACTACTCCTCTGCATGTTTAACTGCATTCTAACTGCTATGATTAATTCCAAACCATTTATCCCACAATCAGTAAAATTCCAGGAACGATTCAATTCTACCATTTAAGGAAGCTGGTGAACACGATGTAAATGAGTATTCATGATCTGAAATGAAGAAGCAACTGGTCTCCAAATAGTTTTTCACCATTTTACTCAACTTACGAGTACAGTCCGCCATGCAGACACAAATGGCGCAAATGGGGAATTCTGGAATCGACTTCGGGACCATTGGATGCAGTAAAACAACTTAACATGATGTCAATGGAGTTGAAGATTGAACCATCAATTCTTGGTTGTTTGCTTAAAATCAACTTCCCCAATTTTCGCGGAAGCATCAATACGACAGTCATCGTCTCATCGGTCGCTGTTCAGAAAGAAGATTGAAACATCGTCAGAAGTAATACAGAGATTTATTATTGTAATATTTGTTTTCAGACCTTAGTTTGCTAAGTTCGCTTATTCCTTTTATATGTTGGTGTAACAATACAGAAATAACAAGCAGAAGATCGGTGTTTTGGTTTTTGCGTCCGTTATAACTAAGCGTTTCTGAGAAATCCTCTAAGAACAGCGTGGGCCCGAGCGTAGCGAGAGCTGGGCATTAACGGTTTATGAGACGTGACTGACAGTTTCTGACGATAGAAACAGATCTGGCGGATTCAAACAGTTGGTGAAAGTTTGGATAGTCGCCGTTCATTTTTCCTGGTGCCGGTCAAGTCCTCTTTGAACAAGCAATATCTGGAACGTTTTTGGAATTGGGTGAAGTTCAACAATGCCTGGGTCAAAGAAGGGACAGAGTGTCTTGGATGCAAACAGGAAAGTAAGTCATGGTGACTTGTCTGTTAATTGTAACGATGTGTCTGATGTTAAGCATGACATGGTTGATGTTACTGTTTCGCCGTTCAGGGATAATAGGAACATCAAACTCCCTAAATTTGAACCACGATGTTTTGATGGAAACCCGGCTGATTATTTACAATTTGTAAAGGAGTTTGAGATCATGTTGAGTGGTTTTTTATTAAATGATGAATTGAAGTTAATGTATTTGATGAGATATTGCACTGGAGATGCTTCAAGAGCTATACAGTGTTGTAAGTTTATGAAGCCAAAAGAGGGCTATGATGAGGCTATGAGCATATTACGTCAAAGGTTTGGAAGACCTTCGATGATTGCAGGGAAATTATTCGAGGCTGTTAAGGGTAATGGTGGTCAATTACATGATGACTCCCAGGCACTCACTGAGTTTTTGGATAATTTGCTAATTTACAAGAATGGAATGATTTCGATGAATCGCAAGAGTGACCTCAACTCGAGTTTTATACTAGAAGTAATAGCAAGACGTCTACCTACTCGACTGCAAAGGAAGTGGGTGAAGATAAGCTCCCGTATGGAGGATGAGGGTATCGAGCCAAAGTTTGATGATATCCTGAAACTGGTAAATACTAGTGTCAATCAATCTATGAGCAAGTTCGCCAGTCTATTAGATCTCACCCATAGAATAGAGCAGTCTGAGGGAAAAACGCAATCATTGATGACGAGTAGGCCTCAGAGAGGTGGTTATCGAGAAAGCTCCATGATGTCTAGTAATGCATATAGACCTAGTGAGTGTAACAGGTTTCGTAGTACATCCTCAACAGATAAGTTACAAGATGCAAGACAAACACGGTTGTGTTGTACACGTGTGCAAGAGGTGCATACAGAAGTGAACTGTGAACCAGTGAGCAAGTTCAGTGATAAGCTAAATGTAAACTCCAGGTCTGACTCCGAATTGTGTGACGATAACGGTGTTGTGAAGAAGTCTGTAGTTGCAACTGGTAAGCCGTTGTTGAATAAAGTGTCACAGAATAGAGTTGCTGCTTCAGAGTGCAGTTCTGACCCTACAAGTTTACAAGGTATTACTAGTCAGAGTGAAGTTATAAAACCTTTTATGATTTGCGAGGAGGAACCAAAATTGTCTACTTCTGTTATTAAAGAGTTTGAAAATGATGAAGTTGACGGTAAAGTGAATATTCGTGATAATGATCATGATACTTCACATTTGTCTTTGGTTGATCATTATGAGATGAGGGATATGCCTACTACTGCTAAGTTAAATAAAGGTTCTGTACAACTACAACGTGAAGTAGAATTGAACGCAGATGCAGTTCCAAAAGGTGTGCATACTTGTGAGACAGTCAGTGTAATTGATCAGCGTGTAGCCCACCTATCATCAGATGATAGTGCTAAACCCGAACTAGTAGTGAAAGACAGCAGTGGTGGTAATCTTGCAGTTGGACAACTATCTGAGAGCCGAAAAAGAACAGCTTCTGATCCACCACTAAGTTCATCACCTTGTGTCACTCAGTCATCGTTGGTGTTTTCATCCACAATGAAACAGACACCCATCAACTCAAGTATCTTCTGCAATGACTATGGTAGTATCAGTTCGTTTGAAAGGACGAATATCAATGGTCAGTTTAGTGTGGATAAGCCAAGTGTAAAGGAGAGAGTAATTGTTAAATTGACTTGCACGAATAAAGGCATTTCTAGTTTCAAGTTACTATTTGAATGTTATTATCTTTGGTGTAAATTACTCTGTTTCTATACTTGGTTGATGAGATATGTCGTGTGTTTGTTGGTCATCTATATTCTACGATACAATGACATGGGCGTGTTACCGTTCAGATTTGAGGATACAGCTCATAGAAGGAAGTTAGCAAATGAACTCTGCGACGATTTTCCAACCTAGGGCGTCAACCTGAGAAGGGTTGTAGGCGTACTGCTGTAAGTCCTACAATTCTTCAAAGGGTAGCGCATCAATGAGCAGCCCAATGTGCTTGGTGTGTGATTTTGTACATATGTTCATATTGCATATACTGAATTGATATCATTTATCATCTAGCTGTTGGTAATTCTGTTTGTGTCCGGACGACTTCCACTTGGATCATCAACCTGAGAGGGAATGTAGGCGTACTGCTGTAAGTCCTACAGTTCTTCAAGGGTAGTTTGTCAAGGCAGAATCCACAACATTTGATGTGTTGATTGTACTTATGTTTGTGTTAAATAGTTGTGTGAGTTCCAATTGATGTAATTGTTGGTTAATCTTGTTTGTGTCTGGACATTCCACAACTTACAATCGTCAACCTGTGAAGGTTTGTAGGCGTACTGGTGTAAGTCCTGCAATTCTTCAAGGGTATTCCATCAAGACATGAAATGCGAGTTTGTGTGTACTGTTTGTATATACGTGTGGTTTGTCATATCAATTGG